TCACTGTCCCTCAGACGTTGGAGAGCTGTTGGAGAGTGTGGCGCACATTCCACACATGTGCACTGTGGGCCCGGGACCAGTCGGCTACTAAGCAGGACAGGCAGCAGCGGCAAAAATACCCGGTGGGCCAGATAAATGTCCTTGGCGGGCCGCATGTGGCCCGTGGGCCATAGTTTGAGGACACCTGATACAGAACGGGGTAATAATAACACCAGCCTTGTCCTCTCGTGGCAACGGCTGGGCACAAAGGAGACATGGGGTTGTGAAAGTGCTTGGCAAGCAATGAAAGGCTGCAAAGAAGGGGTCGTTACTACCTGCAGGCCCCGCCATGCAGGGATCTGCTTAGGAGAAGCAGGGCTCTTGTGAGCCGGTGTCAGCACCAGGCAGGATGCAGAAAGGTAGTTTCTCCCTTCTCTTTCCATATTAGCATGTAAGCAGACAGACTTTTTATCCATTAGCCAGGCATGTGCTGGACATGGCCATTCTGCAGCAGACACTCTGCCTGCAGCGGGGCTGGGCTCTCGGTTTCAGCAGCAGGTCCTGAGAGGCTCCCAGACTGCTGTTGGAAGCCCAGTGCTCCTCGGGCCCTGGCGGGCTGATGAGTTCCAGGAGTTAATAAACAAGGAACTCAATATCCTCCATCTTTTGGAGAGGCAGAGGTATTTAAACAGATTGGGCAGGAGGAACTAAGGAAATGAGGGTTTAGGCATGCAAAGCAGCTCTGACAGATCTGCTGGGCTCTGCGCATGGCTGGGAAGGCCCTAGGGCGGGTTTGCCCAGGAAAACAACGTGCAGCCCTGACCTGAGCCCAGGAGGACAGGAGGGGAGGGGAGGGGAGACAGTAGCCCTGGCTCCAGGACTCCTGTGTACTTAGAAAGGCCACTTAACGTCTAGAATCCCAGTGTCCTCCCTGTAAAATCAAGTTACCAACACCATATCTACTTTTTAGGGGACTGTGTTTGGAATAATTAAGAAATTTCTGAGATGTGAAGTTCTACACTAACCTTGTCAAAATAATGGCATAAATCAATAAAATCAATCATCAATGCCAATGACGGAAAAACCTGATAATGATTAAATGGTCCCTTCACTTCTCCAAGCCTTTATCAATGCAACAGGAGGTCCTGCTCTTCCTTTCCCAGGATGCCGGGCCGGGCCTGCGGTAGCTCAGAGCCAGCCCTTTCTCTCCTCAAGCTGTCTCTGTGCTACGACCGGGCTTCCCCAGCATGCTCGGCTTGGCTACAGGAGCAGACTCGAGAGCTTTACAAGATCCCAGTGCCCAGGAGTCACCCCTGGAGATTCTGAATTGTTCAAGTGAGTCATTCTTGGGACTTGGGCATTGGCATTTTTTAATTTTAATTTTTTGCATTTAAAAAATTTAGCAGAATATATACAATATAAAATTTACCATTTTAATCATTTTAAGTGTAAAGTTCAGTGGCATCAAGTGCATTCACATTGCTGTGCAAGTCACCACCATCTATCTCCAGAACTTCCTCATCTTCCTAAACTGAAACTCTAGAACCATTAAATAATAACTGCCCATTTCCATTTCCTACCCCGGTAACCACCGTTCTACTTCCGTCTCTACAAATCTGACTGCCTTAATTATTTTAAATGAGTGGAGTCATACGATGTTTGTCCTAGGGCATCAGTATTTTAAAAAGCTCTGCAGGTGATCCTCTGTGTGGTTAGGACGGGGGGTGGTGCCAAGCAAAGACTGTGTATGGGTTCCTCTTGGAAAAGAGAATTAGTTTAGGGAGGTCAATGGAGCTGATAGTGGGAAGACTGCAGGAGCAGAAAAAAAAATAATGCAAAGAATTCAGATCTGTGCCCACATTACCTTTAGGCTGTGCACCGCTTCTGTGAGAAGTGGCTGGAGGGAAAAGCTGCACTTGCAGGAAGACCACCTGGAGCAGGGCTGTCCAGTCCTCTGACCTGAGCTTGAGTCCCTGCTCTGCCATGAACAGCTGGGTGCCCTTCAGTGGGTCACTCACTATTACCAAGCCTCACTTTCTTCGTCTGCAAGACGGAGATAATAATATCTACCTCAAAGGGACGCTGCAAGGCTCAAAAGCAAAGCCTCTGAAAGTGTCTGATGTCTTCTAAAACTCTGTAGAGATGACAGTCACGGCTGCTATTGTAAATGGACAACAAAAGCTTCTGTCCTGATTCATTTTTTAAGTGCATTAGCTTTGATAACTAAAGGTAGGGAGAGCACAACTAACTGCTCCAGCTGGGTCCAATCCCTGTCCACAGAATATTTCATTTAAGGGAGCTTAAAGATTGTTATAGATTAATTTTAAAAATCTAGTCTTACTTCCTTGGCACAAATAACCCTTGGAGATTGCAGTGATTTTCAAGAAATGAGCTAGAAGAGTGATTATGCCATTTTAAAGTAAAAAGGCATTCTAATTTGATAAGTGCTCTGAAGAGCCATTAATAGACAGCATCTCCTCGACTTCTTCCCTTTGTGCTTGGTGCCAGCACCTGCCCTTTGTGGAGTGCACATGCATACACACACACACACACACACACACACACACACACACACACACACACAGAGCTCTGGTACTCTTGATGAACTCTGGGCTGCGTGTGTCTTATTCAAAGAAGATGGAGTCAAGGTCGCATGATGTCTTCTAATAGCTAATAGATATCTATTAGAGCAGAGCAGGAGAGCGAGAGGTTGGGAGGGCATGAGAGGGAGGCAGAGACAGCGGTAGCTTTGTCTTGCTAATGTACTTTGTTTTGTGGCATGGTGGGTTGTTCAGACAGATTCAGACCACTCACAAGGGGAGGCGCAGGGGAGGCAAGGCGGCTCAAGTGGGGAGCTTTCCTGGGGACAAAAGATGCACCTGCAAAACGCAGACTTCATCATCTCTGGAGGCCGGGGCTGATGTGGGGAGATAAATGCCCAGCACCACCTGAATGGGTGTGCGCCTGGATGCTGCAGTCAATTCATTTCAGAAGAGGCGCTGCTACCCAGCACGAGCAAGCTGCGCCTCCAATAGGCCTGAATAAGCCAGCAGCACGACAAATGTGCGCTCCCCAAACACAAAGGGCCCAGGGGAGGCGAGGCAGTAATACAGCCTGGCAGGCCGAGCACTGAGACCAGTGGGGGAGGGAGGGGGGAGTTGGTTAGTATCACATTTCAACTTGGGCAAACCAGTTTCTAAACTAAAACTTATATTTTAAGCCCAATATGAGAAACTCTTTCATTGGCTCTGCCTCAGAGCTCACTGGCTAATTCTAGTGTTGTTAGCAGCCTGCAGCCTGGAGAATTGGAAGAACTTGTCAGTATCCTAGTTCAGCAGCTCAGAGACTGAGGGTTCCTTCCTCCCTCCCTCCCTCCCTCCCCCCTTCCTACCTTCTTCCATCTCTCCATCCAGTTGTTCCTTCCCTTTCTCCCTCTTTTCTTTCCTTCCAAGAAATGGATCCCTATCTGCAAATGAGACGGAACTCAATGTGTGGAGCGACTCAAAGCACAGTGGCTCCGATGGGGCTGGGCCCTCCCACTGCGGCTCCAGGAGCATCTCCTTAGAGGCCCCAAGCTCCAGGGTCAGGCTTGACTGTTCCTGATGTGGTCCACCCCCTTTGTCTGAAGGAAACCGAGGTTCAGGGCATGAAGTGATTTTCCCAAAGTAAGCCGAAGGTGCCTTGACCTTCACTCTAACACATTTGCCACTCACATATATTTTCTCTCTTACAGACATCTGCAACGTGATGTTAAAATAGGTCATCAAGTAAATACGGCTCAGAACATGGAATGAATCAATATAACCTCATTTTTCATGGCAAAATTCAGTACATCTGAATTAGGAAGGAAAAGCAGTAGTAGAAACAGGACTGGCTCAGGGTGGGATGGGGAGAAGGAAGCAAATAATGACATGAAAGTTTAAACACAGATTCATTATGTTGCATATTTCTTCCACTCACTGTTCTAGTCATTATCAAATCATCAACTGTTAACAGAAACATGAAGTCCTATGTGATCAAAGGTGTAACCTTGGGCAAGACACCCAGCCAGTGTCTTTGAGTGTCCATACACAACGAGGATTTTGAACCAAATGGTCTCTTTCCTTAGAAAAGCCTTATGTCCCTCTGAAACGCTATGCTGGGCTACATACATGCAACCAATACTGAAAGTGCCTTCCTTCTATGTTATGGCAGGAGTGAGTTAAAGAAAGAAACGAGGCAGGAGAGAGCCAAGGAGGAGAGCACCGGCCACACTCCTGTCGTTCTGCAAGCTCCGACTTAGAAGTTTCTTCCTCCAGGGGCTTTTCTTTTGCCATGGGAAAATTATTTCATTCTCTCTCTAGTTCCTAATAATTATTTGTTTGCATTTCTTCTCCCATAACCCAGGTACCATGAATTATTCACTTGTTTAGATGTGAAACCTAACACCGTGTCTGGATTAATGTTGTTTCATAAATAAAGAAGCTGAAAAATGCTATTGTGGTGTTTGCTAAGGTCTTCACTAGCAAAACCATTTGTTGAGGCAGTTTTCTTTCTCTCTGAAAAAGACCAAAACTAAACCAGACCAGACAAAATCCTCAAACCACCACTTTACAAAAGCAATTGACATTGCTAAACTTTGTTAGAAAGAAACCTTCAGAGGTTTCTTTGCTAGAATCATGCTAGAATCCTTGAAATCTTCATTTCATTATCTTCAACAGAGAAACACCCACTTTAAGCTTTGAAAGTAAGCAGTATCCATTTCATTCTAAGAGCAATAGTTTTCCTTTCACACAGTAACAACTTCAAGTTATATCTTTATGATATTACAAGATACCTTAAAACCTCATTTGTTGCATTTTGGCAACTGGTAGCACAAGTGATAAAAACTTTGGCTTCTTGTATGCTAGAAAAATTGAGCGGAACAGGGAAGCTGGTGCAGAGACCTGAAGTGGCCCACGCCGGGCTTTCCGGTGTGGGACTGTGTTCACGCCATGTCTGGGACAAAAGAAACTTTGAAGCGTATGACAGAACAGACTCACCTTCTTTGACACTCAGTCGTGAGGACTGGTCTGTGTGGGAGGTTGTATTATAGGCCAGCAGTGAACCTGGGAAGCAAGCAAAAACAGGTTAGAACCGAAATATTCTCCTGAGAGCAAGAGCAGGAGATGGCCTGAGGAAGGAGTGGGAGTGAGGAGAAAAGAGGGACAGGGGACTCCTGGAGAGAAAGAAGTCAATGGAAGCCATTTGCTTGGAGCCAATCCTGCGGGCCAGAAAGCGCCCCCTGGAGTTGCAGAGAGTAAGTCAGGACAGAAGGTTCCTCAGGGAAACAGGCCACACCGCCAGTTTACAGTCCTCAAGTGCCCGCTGGCTCCATGCCATGGTGGGAACCCAGGACTGCGAATCAGTACACCCGTGTCTGTCCTATCCTGCCACCGACTCACCATGTGACCACAGGTCATCATGGGCCTGGACAAGTCTCCATTTTGATTCTTTCCTGAGCTAGAGCAGAGGTTGGCAAACTTTTTCTATAAGACCAGATAGTAAATATTTTAGGCTTTATAGGCTAACTGCTGTCTCTGTTGCACATTCTTCTTAGTTCTTGTTTTGTCCTGTCCATGGGCCACATTTGGGCAGCGTGTAGTTTGCCACACCCTGGCGGAGAAGCGAGTACCATTGCTCCCTGCTCTGGCATCTGTGGGTTCATGTGCGTGCGGGCCCCTTGACAGGCAGGGTGAGGCGGTGGATGCTCCTTGCATGGAGGGGCGTTGGGAAGGAGCTGGGGGATAGTATTCCAAATAGGAACTTTTGCCTCCCTTTGCCTGTGTCTACACAGTTGTGTGAGAACACAACTAAGCATGAGGAGCAATGCATTGAATTTCTGTCATCCCAAATGCTTAAAATACAACTTCAGTGCATACCTACTCTGTGCCAGGCACTAGTCTGGGCATCTTGAAGAGATAAATATTTTTGTTGCAAATAAAACAAATTCTTCCTTCTTTCCTAAAACTAGTGTTGTTCCTTTGTTTAAAGTGAATTCAAGAGTTTTATTTTATAAAATTCAGACATTTTTGCATTTCTCCTTGAGATTCTCCTGGGGAAATCTTAAAAAGCCATCAAAACCAGAGCCAGGAGTCGCTTTTACAAAAGACACCAGCAGCTCAGCACATGCGCGTGCTTGAGGCTAAGAAGATTTTTCTAAACAACTCTTTCCCTTGTTCCCCGTGGCCAAGCGGGCTGCCTTGGTGCTGGGCTGGGCACGGGCTGTCGAGACACTCCTGTTTCAGTCTCAGTCATGGAAGGGGCGCAGAAGTGGAGCTGCTGCCTCGCCCAGCTGGGGCGTTTGGTCGAGTGCCTCAGAGAAAATGTGTGTGCTACCAGACCAGACGATGAGGAGGAGAATTTTATAAGAATCTTCCAAGTGCCTAGAACATGACTGTTACTTCTAGTTTGGAAACAGTCCAGACAAAAACAAGGAGTGGGGTGGGGGTGACATTGAGACTGCTATATGCCAAAGTGTGACTGCGCAGATACCATTTTAGAAGTGAGACAGTCACGTGAATGTGATATCCTAGAACCAACTCCATTTGGTCAGTCCATTTTCAAGAATATCAATGACAAAGGCTGGGACAAGTTCATTTTAATAGTCATGTACTGAATAATGATGTTTTGAGGAATGACAGACTGCGTACCTGATGGGTGGTCCCATAAAATTATTATACCACAATTTCACTGCAACTTTGTTTATGTTTAGATACACAAATAGTTACCATCATGTTACAACTGCCTGTGCATTCAGTGCAGTGACATGCTGTACAGGTCTGTATCATGGGAGGGACAGGCTGCGCCACACAGCTGAGGTGTGCAGCAGGCTGTATGTTTAGGGTTGTGTGGGCACACTCCAGGACACTCCTGCATGCTTGCACAGCAAAGCCTATCCCCGTCATTAAGAGACACATGGCTCTATGTTATTATGCAAATGAGAGTTCAAGATTAGACCTGCCTCTTAGCGCTGACTAGCTTTGTGACCTCCAGCAATATGCCTCCTCTATCTGAGCCACAGCTTCCTCATCTGTAAAATGGGCTAGTAATAGTACCTATCTAATATGGTGGTTGTGCAGACTAAATAAAATAACGCATGTGAAGTGCTCAGAGCTGACCCTGGATCATAAGAAGTGTTCAATAAGTGCTAACTATTACATTGTCATTACTCTTTTTATACCTCTCTCAGAGACACCAAAGTCACATATAGTAAACCCCTTTATACGAGAATTTGCTGAGTGTCCATCTTGCCCTCTGGAATGGAAATTATGAATGGGTTGTGCTGCAATAAGAAGTAATCCTCCATGACTGGAAGGAGGTTAAGAAATGGACCAAACGTTCCAAGGGGATGCAGACACATCCCTGAGCAAACTGAAGAATGCTGGCCGCTGGCCCTGCGTCCTCCCCCTCAGGCTGCAACCTCCCTGCTGGAGCAAATAAAGAAAAACGGTGGCTCTGAGGAGCAAACCGCTCGAGCTTCCAGCAGATTTAGCCAAGAGCACGGAGCTCAGATAAACTACATTTATTAAATTTCTCCCTTCGTGAAAGTTCTGCTTTGAGCACATGTGAATTCCACAGGAAACTCCCAGAAAGCTTAGAGAAAGGGTCGTTTGACCTCTCCAAAGCTTGCATGAAATACATATTTCATGGCAACCTAGGAAAAGGATTTTGCCCTTAAGACTGTTCTTGGTTCAGGTTTCACTCCTAGAAGGAAAGGCGTCCTTCCCCGAGGAAGGGCCGGCTAGGGGCATCGGCCTCTTTCCCAAGGGACCCACATTCCCTTTCTTTTCTCTGATTTTTATTTAACTAGTCCCTCAGGCTCCAGAGGACAGCACAGCACACTCTTTCCCTAAGAGGATGTGTTCTGGTGCAGGCGGTTCCTCCCTGGAGCCCGTCCTTCTGCTCTGTGTCTTCCGATCGCTTCTTCCGGCTTCCAGGCTCGTTCTGGGCTGGTTCCGCACGGGCTTACCGTGCTGCAAGCTCCTAGTCCTCCCTGACGCCAGCCCGGCAGAGCACGCGCGCTGCGCGGGGAGCAGCACACACGATGCGCCAGACTCTCTCTCTAGTCTCGCACTTAATCCTTGCTTGAGCCTTGCAAGGCCGGTACCATGTTATCCCCATTATAGATGAGAAGCCTGACATTCAGCAAAGTCATATCGTTTGCCGGGGATCACACAGCCAGCGAGCACTGGAGGCAGGAGCCCCTGGTCTATCCACAAAAGCTGTCTTCAGCCCGCCAGGCACTGCAGCCTCCAGGCTAACTCAAAGAAACAGGCGACACTCCCCCGTGGGGTTGTGCAGGCAGGGTGGCGGTTACCTTTGGGAAGGAAGGGGTGGTGCGATGGAGAGAGGGCGTAGGGGGCTTCTCTTCTGCTCCTGGGCCTGGTGGTACTTACATGAGTGAGTGGATTCTCTTTGTGATCATTCCTTGAGTTCTGCACTTGTGATTTGTGCACTTCTCTGTTACACTTCACTTAAAACATTTGTTCACTTGGTTATTTATGTATGTATGTTTGTATGCATGTATGTATACATACGTGCGCACATCTATGTATATCTATTTATTTGGGGTGCTTTTTGCTCTGAAAAGCATGAAGTGGCTGTTGTGGAGGATTGGAATGGCCTTCCCAAAGTGGAAACATGAGGGAAAAATCATTTTCCACTTTCGAGCCCATCCGTCGATGGATACAGTACTGGGAGCTGAAGGGAGGCGGGATGAGCCGGTACTCAGCCTTTCTTCCGTGCAACGTTCCCTCAACCTAACCTGCTTTTCACCTGGGACACCTGGGGCCAGGGAGACACGGGTCGCAGTGCCAAGCTTTTGTCTGCTGCCTGGCTGTGACCGTGGGATCCCTGGCGCCCCTCACAGCCGGCCTGCTGAATCTGGGTCTCCCTTTTCTCGCCGCTGTGCCACTGCGTCGATGGCCCAGGATGGCCCTGGCCAAGTGGCCGAGTGCAGGGCATGGGGGCAGGGCCAGGGCTCTCTGTGCTCTTTCAGCAGCAAGACTGGCCTGACTACCGGGTCCAGGGCAAGCTGGCCTTTGGCCCTGCTGGCTTCTGTTCTCCCCTGGTCAAGCAGGCCTGGAAGGGCTAACGCTCCACCTGCATAATTGACCAGAGCCGTCCCCTCAAGCTGCAGGTGTGAAGGCCACAAAATGCAAAATGTGTTTTCCATTAAGTTTAAATTAAATATGGGACTCAAGATAGATACCTTTTCTGTGGTCTCCTTGTCACACAATATCTTTCATTCTCTTGAGTAGCCACTATTCGAAAATGAAGTTTCTTAGTGTTTTTCCCAGGTCAGACCCAGAGAGACATTTTCCTTCTGCCTCTGACCACCCCCACCTGGACCTGCTGGGCTCCCAGACACCCCCAAACTCCCCCCAGTGGCCTGGAGCCTGAACTGCCAGCTGGGGACAGACAGCCCTCACTTCCTTTGAGGTCCAGGTTCCAGTCTTGGCCCGCGACTGTAAATGCAGCCCCTGCCAAACGGGCTGTGGACCAGGGCTGCCAGTCAGGTCCAGAGAAGGACGGGCGGGGTTAGTGTGGTAATAGGTTTGGCTTAATTGGCCTCATTCCAGAAGGCCACAGGACTGTTTTCAGAAAGCATTTATCTCTTGGTATGGTAAAAATGGGAAAGTGGCCTGGCCCTCGAGGTGGAAGCCCCGGGGGAGCGAGGCTGACTCTGAAGTCAGCAGGGGAGACAAGGGAGACACAAGAGGCCAGCTTGCTGCTGTCCCAGGGATGGGGAGACAGAGCAGCAGCATGAAGCTGGGGCCTGGGCTGCAGGCCGGGACTGAAGAGGCCTGAGTCTCAGACACCAGGTGCTCTCCATCGGCTGTAAGCCTTTGAACCAATTTCTGAAGCTCTCTTGGGCCTCAGTAGTTTGGGCTTTCCAATGGGGATTACAAGTAGACGTCCACAAGGGGGCGGCCTTTTATGTAAGGTGAACGGCACCTGGGCGGAGGCCTGCCTGAGCCCTGGTGTTCCCCAGGAGACCTCAGAATGACCCCCAAGGGCTGCGGGCACTCCGGCCAGACCCCTTGGGTTTCAAGGGTGGTGGTGTCACACAGCCACTCTGTCTGGCACAGCTGGATGCCCCAGCATGGAGAGCTAGTGCCTCCAGGCAGGCTGGATGAGTCCTAGCGGGCCAGCCCATTAGACAGGGTCTACAGTGGCTTAGGGCATTGCTATTTCTTCTCCACCCTGGAAAATACATTCTCAAATTTAAAATTTAGCATTTAAAGTTTAAGACTATGTCTCCCCTCCCAGACAACCAGAATAAACAGTCAAGCTCCTTTTGGGAAAGGGTAAATTTGATGGCAAAATGTCTTATCTGACAAGGTTTCCCTTTTTCTAGACTTTCTATTAAGGTCCACAAAGACTTGATCAGAGAAGCGCCACCAATTTGGAGTCTCCTGACAGGATCGGCTCAGGTCCCCAATTCTCCCCTCTGGACTTCCCTTCGCCCCACAGGGCTTCCTCCGTCTGTGTTGAGGATCTCAGCCATTTCCCTTCCACCTCCTGCCAAAGTGGAAATGTTGGACCCCACCTGCCTCCAACACAAGGACCAGATGACAGAGCACACAGAAGCAGCACCCTTCCCCTGGCCTCCACGTGGCTGCTTCAACACGTTCCCCAAGCACCGGCCTCCCTCCTAGCACAAAACATCCCCTGGAAGTCAGTCCGGAAAAACAATAAAGAGAGAAGGCTCTAAGAACATTTAAGTTGGTCAGCATTAGGGATTTCCCAGAAATCCAGAGAGCAGAGACAGCAGGGACAGTCCCCAGCACAGGCCTCCTGCAGGTGCTCAGCAACCAGCCGCCACCCAGCACCAGGAGCCCCACCCTAGACACCAACCCAAGACAAGGATGGCTTGAAAAGTCTCTCCCCTGACAGTGGGTCATTTAAGTCTAGGGTCCTCAAAAGGGTGTCACGGTACTATGTTGGGCCATCTTTTCTTTTCTTTTTCTTCATACAACTATTTATTTTTGCTTTTGCAGGCAGACATGCAGACATGGTTTTTCTATCAATGCACAGATCCCTTTCTAGTGAGCTTCCAGTCCACACTGCATCACAGGCACTTCCCGCGCCCTCTCGCCACAGCCACGGACGGCAGAACGGCTTCTCACCCTGTGGGTGCACTACAGTCAGCCAGCCATCTTCTGGTGCTGGGAGTCTGTCCTGCATTTTCAAGTCTCCCGTGTATGTGCTTGACTCTGCCTCCTTTCCACTACAGAAATTTGCTCCACTAATAAGCCCTTTCCTGGAAACCTTGTATTTTTATTGCTTTGGGGGCATCTTCTGTCTACAAACATTCTTGAAAAGAAAGAAGCAATTGGCATGTTATACTCCCCCAAATATCAAACTGTGCAACTCCACTTCTTCATACCCTGCTCACTGCCTTGCCCTTGGACCCACTTCCCTCCAGTTGAAAGTCTCGTGAATGGGTACCAGTGGCCACCTTCGCACACACCTGGGCCGTTTGAGTGGGAGGTATGGGATGTATTCCTCTAACTTCAGCATCTGTGGCTCGGGTTCTTGGGCAACATGAAGTACTAGCGGGGACTTGGGCTGTTTATGGACAGGTCAGGGTCTGGGGGTCTCACGGCATACACGGGCTTTCCCCAGAAGCGCCGGGCCCTTAACTGTTCAGAGCACACCATCTAGGCTGCTCTTCTCCCACAAATGAAGAAAAGGGGTCAGGGGTCCCACAGCCTCCTGCCAAGGGTGATTCTGGGCGCAGTGGGGAAGGCGGGGGTGGGGGACCCTGCCTCGCTTGGCTGGTCTTTGCTACCATGGTCCGCCTCCAGTGCCACCCCTCCCCCGCTCCCGCCTACGCCACTGCAGGACTCCCATCAGAGATCCTTAGTTTTTTATTCTATAAACACTTAAAGCCTGAAAAATATGGATCATTAGAAAATGCTAATTATCCAAAACTCAGAAAAGCTGGGTGGAAACTAGTCCCCTTTTTTGAGGTTGTTGTTCCTTGGGCTGACCTCACGCTGCAGCAAGACTCAGACATGAGGTCATCGCTCCGGTGCTAACATACACTGCATCATCCACTCTCTGCCCCTGGTTACCAGACGCCTCGGAGAGGTGACCGGAGGGCCCAGAGTCCCTGGCGGAAACTTCCGAAGGCATTTCTCTTTAACTTTTCCAGCCGGCGTGTGCTGCAGCGCTGCCGAGTGAGACAGCAGGTTACAGAAGGGTGGGCGCGTTACAGGCCCACTGGACAAAGGAGAGCACACAGGGAGCAGCGAGACCAGAAAAGCAGGCCCCAGAGGCACTGTCCCAGGATCTGAGCTTTGGAGGGGGGCTTACTGCAAACACCTGCCCGAAGCGTAACTCCCTCGCTACCCCAGCAGCCCTGGCCATTCACAGCAAGCGAGCACAGCGCTGCTCTGTCTCCACGCAGGGCTGCCTGGCTGTTAGGGAGCCCTGCATAGCCTGAGCCCACAGCTGTCTTCCGGGGGCATCAACACTGTGGCCCTCAAACCATCTTTTCGGGCCACAGAGCAGCCCTCCAGTACTTGGGGGCAGTGTTGCTATACCACCTGCCTGGATTTCTGGTAAAGAGTTAAGGCTGAGGTTGCCAGCAGATCTAAAAGAGTTCCATCCCTCTGCTCTGCGCACATTCTTCTCCAGTGAAACTCCTATCAGATTGCTGGGTGCTTAGCGCTAGGGAACCGCCTACCGGACAAATCGCCTGGCCAGCTGCCTGTTTCCTAAGCTCGCCCTCTACAAAGCTCCTTTCCTTCCCCTGGCTAGGCCAGGAGAGAGCATCCCACAGACCTTAACACACCTGTCGCATTGGCTACTCTCCCTGGTGAGTGAGGAAGTGTGCAGACAGTGCTGTAAGGCAGGCTTGGAGGTGCCAGCGTACCCAAGGATAAGGGGAAGCTAATATGTAAATTTTTAAAACTTTAAATCCAAAAGCCATGAACCTAGAGTTTCCTGTAAGAACTTTAAATCATTGCTTAGGAAAACACCAGCCAGGGCATCCATCTCCATACAACTACAGGTCGAAGTAGTCTCTGGAAAGGGGCTCTCAGGGAAGAGCATAGCTAGCCTCTGCAGGCCCCTTCTGGTCACAGCCCCCTCTTTCCCCCATCCCTCGCTTTTCTGCCTCCACACGTCAGGAGCGGGTCTGCCCCGCGGGTCTGCAGAAACCCAGGCGGCCTCGGCAGCACCACAGCCTGACGCTGCATCTGCCCGACACAGCGACACCGAGTCTCTCCCCCGGGTCGGCTCTATGGGAAACCAGTAGCCCTTGCAGGGCTTCCTCCTGGCCCGGAGGGCTTGGGCTGCACTTACTTTCCCTGAGGTAACTGAGGTGTGACAACAGCACTTCCGTGTTGTAGAGGGTGGTGGCGCGGAGGAAGTCCTCCTTGTTCATTTTACACAGTTCTTTGCCGTCCATGTTCTGGAAAAAGGACGTGTCGATCTCCATCAGGCCGTATTCCTTGATGGCCCACTCCAGCCACTGCCTCACGTGCTCCTGCGTCCACAACGTGGGGTCTGCGGGGAGAAGGGACAAGACGCCGTCAGGGAGGGCTGTGGGCAGGCACAAGGCCCCGAGCAGCGTCCTGGGCGGCCTCCCGCTCTCCCTCCCTCCTGCCCTCCTCTCTCCCCTTCTGTCTCTCCCTCCCCCCTGCAGGAAAGCCAGGTCCCTTGCAGATGGTCCCCTCAGAGCACCCATCTGCTCAGGCACCTGGCGCTGCCTGAACCACTTAGCGCTCCGCGGAGGTTCTTAGCTGCCTCGCTGCGTACCCTGACAGGACACTCTCTCAGGTTCTGGAGGGCAACCGAAACCTTTGCCTGAGTAATGGTGGCATCAGAATGAAAATAAACTCAATTCCACAGAACCAGGGACCAATGTTTCTGGAAAGGGGAACCATCTGCATTTTAAGAATATTTGTGATTTCATGCGAGAACACAGATCCCTCAGATGGCAACAGAAAAGAAAGATACATGCATAGACTTTCACTATAATTCCATCCATGCAGCTGGAAAACCCAGTGGTGTTAGTCTTTAACACAAACCCAATCTGGGTTTTCGCCTTTTGGGATCACCCCCAAAACATTGTTTTGGATATTTAAATGTCCAAAGATTAGAAATGGTGTTTGAGAGAGAAAACCTGTTAGTCTCCAAGTGAACACAAATAATGTGAAGGCTGAGGCCCTCTCCACTTGAGGAACTCTCCACTTCCCAGCCGGGGCTGCGTGTTTGCGGGAGCAGGGGAAAGTGGTGAGTTCTAGCAGGTTCCACAGTAGGTAGAACCTTGTGTCTTATCACTCATCACAGTCTGGAACCCGTCTCTTCACTGGGCCACCGACTGTTAGTGGGTCCAATGAACACCTTAACTGTGCTTACGACAAAAGGAAAACCACATGGTGCCTGCCCTCAAGGACCACCTACCCCTATGAAACATTTAGGTAGGAAAATGCACGGCTAAGCAATGGATTTTGAGGTGGTTGTTCAAGGACTCATAGGTGGAAGGGAATAGCATAAACTTAGGGAGTCAAGGAAGGCTTCCTGGAGGAGGAGATACGTGGCACTTTGTTGCAGGTCAGCCGTTAGCCGCAGCTTCTAACAGCCTGCTCCATTCAGTGTGTCTGTCTGGCAGGAACCTTTGTGCTGCTCCTCACCCAACTCGCCCTCTTACTCCGCAGTGTCTGTGGAGGCTCTTGGCAGTGACGGGAACCGGGAGTGGATGGGAGGGAAGGAAGGCTCTGCCGCCTGGCTCATACCACGCAGCTCCTGCCAGAGGCAGACCCCCAGTGTCTGCACTGCGAGCTTCTGCTGCCTGTGCTGGGCTGCCATGGGTTCCCCGCCCCACTTTGGTTTCTAAATGCGACAGTCTGGGTGGCAGGGGCCGAGTCAGCTTTGCAAAGTGCCAGCACCAGCCGTGCACAGGAGTGGTGGCTGCATTGCTGCTGGCAGTGGAGAAGCTGGCAAAAGGGGAGGGTTAGAAGAGGAGAGTTTGGGGTCACAGGGCACAGACTGCTGCGGAATGTCATAGTGACAGTCCAGGGCCCTGTAACTAGTGATGGCACAGATGGAGGGTGCTTACTGTGTACTATCCACCCCATGTGCCCTATTTTACTTCTCAAGGAAGTCTTGCAATATCCCCATTTTACAGATGAAACTGGAGTCTTGCAAGGTTAAGTCACATCACTGCTAAGCATCTGAGTTGGGGTTCCAACCGAAGTCTTCAGAGGACTTCACTCAGCTGAAGTGGCAGCCCCCAAAGGGCCCCTCTCCTCTCCTCACTGGCCAGCTCACCCACCTGTGAGTTACTCGGCTCTCACGCCGAAAAGCAGAGCGTCATCGTACAAGTATGTATTTGTCTCTCCCAGACACGTTCCTTGCTTTGCTTTACTCTTTCACTATCCAGAAGCAATTAGGTCTGGATCATTGGCAAATGGAAATAATTTTGCACCTTTTCAGAATTCTAAAGAAATATGTCCTGGGGGAGTTGGATTATGTAGCATATTATTTCATCCTTTGCTTCTCCTAATTCCTTGCTGTTAGTATCCAAAGCCTCAAACTCAATTTTACACCATATATTTTATTATTTTATTATTTGCTCCCTTGCTTTAGGCTCTACGGCGATATTATTTCTCTCCCTCTACAGCACAATGAATTATAAATCTTCCACTCTGGGTCTGCTAAACTCTTCCAAGTGTGTTTCCTGGATGATTTAGTCCTTCTCTCTTCCCAACTGCACATAGAGCTGGTGATTAACTGGGGCCCACATTTATACTTGTCTTAAAATCCCACCATAAATTCAATCAGTTATTCCACTACCATCTTATTGCTTTGATTTGTGGACTTGCCCAAGTTAGACTTTCCCTCATGTCCAGCAGGCTGACCCAGAAGAAGCCAAAACGTCTGAGGATCTAAGAGATCCCACCAGAGGCAAAACAGTGAAGCAAATCCACAGCATTCGCAGTCAGTAAACAAAGTGCTTTGGAATTATTTTCACTATTCGCGTAGTAGTTAACTTGACCCACCGGAGCCTGTTTTGCTGTTCCTTTTGAAAGCATTTCAACCCCAAATTGAGGGTTGGAGGGTCAACCCAGCAATCTGGCCACTTCTGACCTATTTCCAAGTCCCCTCCCAAAACTGATGACCGAAATGAGATGGTGCCAACAGAGACCTTCTCTGACCCCTAACACTTCAGTCCCTTGAGATTTCCCTCCCATGCTGGTAGCTGTTTGGCGGAAGCAGGGAGTTTGATACCATTTGAGCAAAGACTCAGCGAGGCTCAAAGGAGGCTCAAATGCCTGGCAGAGTATAAAGAAGACTCCTACTATGTCCTTATCAATGGTTCCATTGTCTGCTTTCTTTGGTGAGGAGGAGGAAGACACACCCAGGCTAAACACTACTAGCTGGTCTCCTGAGGGAGGTGGGAGGTCAAACATCCAGTGATAACGTCATGGAGATAAAGCAGTTTACATGGCGCCTGGCACCTAGAAAGCACCAAACAAATGGAAGCTACTCTTCCTTTTCCTCTGTTGGATCATACGCTTGTGAAAGAAAGAACTTAGAATTGCTTTATGAGTCGGTTTTAAGTCCTATGGGGTACAGAGAAATTCCTGTAAGCCCTGCCTCTCTCCTGCCTCACTCTTTCTCACACCTTCTTGAATTTGGCCCCAAACACAGGGAGGCGGCCCCAGCCTAGGAGGTGATGGGACACTGCCTCCCGTGGACACAGGCCACTACCAAATCACACCTTCGGCCCAACAAACAAATGCCTTTGTACTACTTCCAAGAAATGTCTAATCTTTTACCTTCAGACACAACTACATATACACTTTTACAAATAGAAGGAGTTTTGCCTCTTTGGTAAAGCTATTTTGGTAAGATCAATTTTAATCCCTGCCCTATAATTCACTTTGCTCAAGATCTGGGTGCTCTCACTCCTTCTACCTGGCACCGGTTCCACACGTGGCAGTTTTCAAACTCCTTTTTTGTCTAGGCAGCTGAGCTTGCTGGTGCTAACCAAGGCAAAGTGTCTGGCCAATGGACTGAAGGATTGAACAATGATTTTATTTTCTGTAACCAACAGCACCAATACCTAGGAAAAAGTGGCTATTTTTACCTAATGACAAACTTGTTGCACACACGTCAAGGCGCTCCGTTTGTTAAATATAGTTATTTCTATTTTAAAACTGAAAGGGCTGGCTGTCATTTTGGAAAGGTGGATGGAACCCAGCAGATGCCAGGAAGTACACGCCTGAAGGGAAGGACGGACCTCTGCAGCTGCCCTCCTCCGAGGAGGCAAGGATGCCCACGTCTGGGAGCACACGAGGCTCCTTTTGGGTGGGGGCAGCCTTGCCTGGGTGGGGGCAGCCTTGGCTCTGCTCTCTGGGCAGGTCCGTCCTCGGGTACCAGGCCACCGATGTGGAGCTGTGATGTGGTCAGTTTGAGGGTGGGGCTTCCAGAATCCCCATGTCGGGGTTCTGGTGACATTTGGGATACTGTCTTGGAGGGCAGCTAGGGAGGAAGGAAAGTTGCGTAGCTTTCTTGGTTTTGCATTTCCATAGAGTGTAGGGTAGCAGGCAAAGGTTTAGATGTCCCCCTGGGGCAGGCCTGCCCATCAACTGTGGGCCCCCAGACAGGGGAGAAGTGGGTGGTGGCCGGGAGCCTGGTTCCCAGAGTACCTGCGGGGACGATGACTCTCCTCTCGTTGGTGGTCATGTTGGGAGGCGGGGGGCCGTTCTTCTCGTCCATGTAGCTGTTGTAGTTCATGGGGTTGGACTCGCCTCCACCAATGAGCTTGCCGCACTTGCTAACACTACAGTCCACTGGAGACTCCCTAGGGTGGGAGGAGACAAAGCACAAAGGAAGCCATCACTGACAGGGCAGCTCCCCCAGCCTCAGCAGCACGGCCAGTCGCTCCGGGCACAGCCACGGAGCCCTCACCCAGCCTGCTGGGTGTCATGACAAGACAGGGGCAAGGATGCTGCCCTATTTCGATCCTCCATGCTGCCACCAGAGTTTTCTTCAAATTCCGGCCGGATCCTATAATTATGCTACGCAGAAACTTTTGGCAGCTCCACAGTGCCCTCGGACCAAAGTCTGAACTTCGCTGAGTGGCCCTGCGGCCCTCCCAGGCTGACTGCAGCTTACATTTTTAGCCTCATTGCCAGGCAACCTGGTCCTTGCTCCCGGACACACCTCCCCACTGTCCCCAGCCTTAGTTATAGGACTCGACACTCTGTATGATCCTTAGTTTGGCATGTGCCCTCCCGCTGCTGGCTTACGAGTTTCTTGAGACAGTGTCCTCACTTTCTTTGTTTAATCTGGCACCCTATGCAGTGCTTTGCCGGGGAGGTGAGCAGCAAAAGTTTTCTCGGTGACTTATTTCTGTTGTACACATATCATTTTAATGCATTTCTCATGCTCTGTTATATTTCCCAATAATCCTCGAAGATAGACATGGAAAAGGTTACTATGTCCTTTTATTTTTCTTGGTTAAGGAAACAGAGGTGGGCTGACTGGCCTAGGGTCACACAGCTAGTGCAGGGGCAAGCAGGACTCAGATCTTTGGTGTGAAGCTTCACTATCAAAGCATGCAAAAGGACTGGTTGTGGCATGAAGGAGGAATAGAATCCAGGAACTTCAGCCTGATTGAGAGGTGTGGCCCTTGTGGCATTTTGCAGCTCTGGCCACCAAGCTCCCAGGGGAAGAAATATGGAAATGCATGGGGATAAAGCAAATCACCCAACTTGGCCTTGAACTACGCAGCCCAATTAGCACCTAGGAGTTTGCAGCATTGGTGACTGACAGCCATCTGGAAAGCTGGGCTGACCCCCAACCTGTAGTCACCTGGTGCCCTGGAGCAGGCTGGCATACACACTCTACACGCCCCCACCCAGTGTCACACACCTCCAGTGTGCTTGGGGAAGTGCCATCCTGCCCTGCCCAGACACCCCGGCAGCAGGACCAAAGGAGACTGCGGGAAGACCAAGGAGAGGCTGCAGCTGCGGTTATAGCGAGCAGGAAGCATAGGTTCTGGCAGCCTGGGAGACAGCCAGTCCTCTCCAGAGCTCCAAACCAGGCCCTCAGACCCCAGAGTTCAGATAAGGTTCAGATTACAGCTTCCAACTCTGGGCTGCCTAACCTCGCCGGACGGACATTCCAAAGGCCTGGCCACTGCCCTCCGTCCCCTGCTGTGGGCAGGACCAGACCACTGCAAAGCCGTAGGAGCACGGCCGTGCCAGAGAGGGATCCACCCTCCCTGCAAGCAGGGCGGGCCGTCACCAACTCAGAGACGCAGCACGGCCCAGGGTGCCTGGGACTCAGGCAGGGCGGGGGAGGCCTGAGCACATTCAATAAAGAAAATTAAATGAATTTGTTTCTTAATCTAAAAGGAAAAAATATTGAAGATCACTTATCATAGCTGGGAGATAAATGCTCCACTGAGATATTAGAAGTCAGACGGTAATTTTTTCCTGATGTCTTACAGAGGGGAACATGGGCTGAAAATGAAAATAAGATGTATAACTTACACATGTTAGAATTTAAGGTTTTACTATTCGCCTACTGTTTTTCCAGGCAGAGAACCAAGAACCAGCCGTCAGAGTCCCAGATTGTTGAAGGTTTAATGTCCCCATGGCAGGCGGAGGGAGGCAGCAGCACGTCGGGGCTTTTCACCAGTGCTCGGCCCTTTGGCTGCTGCTGTCGAAGGACTTGGCCTGCCATGAAGCGGCCCCAGTTGGGCCCTGGAGCTGGCGTCTGAGCTGGGCTCTGGCCCGAGCGTGCCGGGTCCCCACACCTACCCTGTGGCTGACTTCATGCCTGCACCCACACACAAGACCCGTGAACACACTGCAGCATGCAGAACACACGAACACGCATGTCCACATGTGCACACGTGCTTCAGCGCACACACACACACATTTCACTACACACACCCCGCAGCCGGGCAGCCTCTGCCAGCATCCTGGTCAGTTGTGAAGCAGCCCAAGCGCCGCCGAAGTTTGCAGGATTAAGCTGGCCTGCAACCAGGGCAGCAAGGCTGGCGTGGCCGGGAGGCCGCTGCGGGTGGGCATGGGCAGGCCAGGGGGCTTCGGAGAGGAGAGTGATGGCAGCGGCGGGTGTGGCGGGAGAGGATGCACGTGCTCCATGGGCTTCTCCCCTTTACGGACATGGGGCAGACGACTTCTGAAAGATTCTTTCCCCGTCAGCGGGGCCTCTGGGGGATTTCTGAGTTAAAAACAGACCTCTTTTTATGCAAGGAGGTCAGCACGTTGCGAGTCACTGAAATGAAGTGGCCCTTTGTGGTTCATGGCCGTGTATGGTAGGCACAGGCAGGTGGCAGGGCGGGTCCCAGTGACAGGAATATAGAAAAATAAATTTGAAAAGATGGAACATTTCATAAAATCTGCCTGACGCATGACCTGGAAAGGAGGGAGCCGCAAGCACCCCAGCGAGGTGGGTACCTGCGGGGAGGTGGGCGCGGAGGAGGGTGGGGGCTCTCGCTAGGACAGCTGCTGGAGCTGTCTGGTGGGCACAACCTCCTCGTTCAGCGACCCACAGAAGTTGTTCCAGTTCTGCTTCCCTCTGCTCACCCTCCTCCAGCCCTGTGCACACACCTGCTCCCCAGCTGGGCAGGTGATCCACCTGGCCGCCCACCTGCCTGGGCACCTCCCTTCTGGAGCAAGGCCCTGTCCATGGTCCAGGCCTCTGGGCTAGGACTTGCAAGGGGCAGCCTAGGGAGATGCCCTGGCCCCCACCCTGGACTGCCGCACTTGCCGGGCCAGCCCTCCTCCCGCTGCTCAGGGAGAGAAAGAAGGAAAGCCATACCTCGCCCGCTCGCCTGCCAGACTTCCCTCCATTCTGCCAGCTCTGGGGCACCGGGCCTCCGCCAGAGAGCACGAGCCCCGCGCAGCCATGGGGCTCAGCTACTGCTAAGGGTGGTACAGGTGAAGCCAGCATAAAGGCTGCACTGTAATGAGGCAGCTGGCGCCTGTGAAGAGGGCTGGATGAAAACAAGAGGGAGGGAGGGAGGGGAGCACGGACAGGACGAGGTCTCGCCATTCAGCTTCCCGCCACTGCTGCTCATTTGTATTGAGACTGCACTTATTATGGCTAGCATGGGGCCCACAGGCAGCTGATAGCACTGGGACAGGGACAGGTGACAGGAGGGCCTGGGGCTGCACAATGGAGCAGGGTGGAGGTGGCGCTCCCAGAGTGTAACTCAACACATCTCTGGATGGAGATCTCAGGCAACAGAAAGCCAGGGCCCCAGAAGATGCAGCAAAGCTGCCTCCTTTCCTTCATTTTCGCCACTAGACATAGGCTCTTTACTCTTTGGGCTCTGTTTTTGTGTGTTCAGTGAACATTGCTTTAAAAAAACTGCTAGTGATTTCTAAAAGTACCTTATAATCTGTTAGGCAATTTAAAACAAGGTGCAAAATCTTGGGTATTTGGAGATTTCAAAGATTTGTAAAGATTACCCCTCAGACTATACAAACATCTTCTCCACCTCCCCATTCAACTCAGCAATATCATCGGGTCACAAATCTGCAGCCCAGGCTTCCCATCAAGGGTTACCCAGTGTTCACACAGTTCAAGTTGCATAGCACCCATCACGTGTGTCTTCCACAGAGCATGCACATTGTATAAAAATTAAGCAGTCTGTATTGCCTTTAGGACTTCTGTAGGATTCATGCAGAGATGCAACTTTTGAAAAGGAGATGCAATAATTTAAAAGCAGATTTCAAGAAAAAAAAAACCATCTCCCATAACAAAACCATTCCCCTAACCCACTAGCTGTTTTCCTCTCCATACACAGTGGATGCTGACAGCTTTTGGAGAATCCCGAGAGCACCCTCCCACCCGGGTTACGGTGGCATGTCTCACACTGCAAGGTTCAGAACGTGGAGTTTAGGGAGGCGCTTTGCAGTCAGGGAGGCACAAGTTACAGGGCTTGTGAGGCTGATCGTTCTGCTCGTGGAGTGTGAGTCTCTGAGTGTTTGGTGGATCCAGACCCTCTAGGCCAATCCAGGGAGCATCAGGACAGGCTAGCACTGAACTCAGGCCCTGAATGCCAGGAACACAAGGTAAGCCCTGTGTTTTCCCTCCATAAATTGGTATTCTCTCCTTCGAGGGATGTTTTCCCCCATCCCTGCGGCTAAGACAGGATGCAGCTGAGACTTATTTGCAGACCACAGCTTGGATCAAGTTCCTGAAGTCTACATCCAACACAGAGCCTATGGGCCATGCTGTTTCAAGGCAACCCAGCCTAACAGAGCCAACCACAGCAGGGGGAGATGAAGAAAGGGAGCACAAGTCTCCCGAACATGGGCAACAAGACTTTCTCTGAGCTCCCAGACCTGCTCTCTGGGTTTGACCCTTTGCTCTGGGCCAGATGGCTTGCTGCTGGGATGAGAAGCCTTGCAGTTTCAGGCACACTGAATATCTCCTCGCCACCAGAGATGCGAGTATCTATGCGGTCTCAAGTGAGTGTGAAGAAGTAACTCAGAAACTCGTGCAAGGAATGCCCTGTGAATTGCAAAGCAGTGCAAAACATTCTGGCTCAGCACTGTCCAAAAGAAGTAGAATGTGAGCCTTGCTTGTATGCCAGCCACATAAATAATTTAAAATTTTCTAGTGACTGTATTTTTAAAATAAAAAATACAAGTGAAATGGATTTTAATAATATATTAAAACATATTACTATACTAACTCAATATAGCTAGAAGATTATCGTTTCAGCATAATTGATAATCAATGAGATATTTTACATATTTTTCCATACTAAGTCTTCTAAATCCAGTATTATTTTACCTTTAGAGCACATCTCAATTTTGGTCCAACTGCTAGTGGCTATGGCACTGGACAGTGCAGGTCTAGCCCATGAGCCGAGAGATCTCAAACTGTACATCCTGCCTCATTCTTCTCATCTGAAGTTAGGGACTGTTACAGCAACCCCACCTGTCTTTAGCGCCATGGTGAATTATTCCCTTTGCAAATGACCAACAAAATAACAAAGTGCCATCATCAATAATACTCAGAAGACACAAGCAGCACAGGTTTCAGGATGAGAGATTTAAACAGCGTGGCATCTATTTCACCACGTCATTTCTTTTTGCATAATTCAATAATGGGATCTGACATGGTTCCACCTTAAACACAGACATTTTTCTGGAAATCCCTGTTCCCTGGCAGCTGACCACCCCAGCTTGTACGTGAGCACTTAGAGGATATTTATGAGGTGCTGGCGACGGCTGGGTGGGCCTAACCTGTTGGGCTCTGAGAATCACTGGATTGCCTTTGTTTCCCAGGTCAGGTGAGTAGACACCAGTCTTGGGAACCTGCTTTGTCTCCTGCTGACAGTGTGAGTTGGGCAGGCAACCCAAACACAGAGGCTGCTGCTGGTGCCACCAAAGCAGGCTGCTTTCCCTCTGTTCCCTGAGGTATTTGCACAGCCCCCTGCAGCTGGCCCTGGTGTACTGGAGCCAGGGACGAGCTGGCAAGTGGGTTCTGAGAACTGATGGCCTTAAGGGACCCTCTTTGCCCAGGATCCATGGCCTAGAGTGCTTGCGGCTTCTCCAGGAGCAGCCAGTGTGAGCAGCCACACTGAGCGCCGATACCGGCTCGTGTGGGAGGGGCTGAGTGCCCAGGCCTGGGTCCCTGTCCTGGTTAGTCACTACCTGCACGGCCTTAAACAAGCCACTTTATCCCTGACTCTGCTTAGCCAGGTCTTCATTCCGTTAGACCCTTGACAACTATGCATCAAGCACCTATCATGGGGCAAGCTTGGCTCAGTAAACAGAAGCCCCGCCCACATTTGGGACAAGAACTCTGCAAGGCACAGAGTGCCGAGGTGTTGCTTTAGATCCGGGCGTCAGGGAAGGCCTCTGCGAAGATGATGTTCAGGCAGAGACTTGTGAGGGTGAGTCATATGGCTGGATGGAGTAGGACTGTTCCAGAAGGAAGGAACCCAGGGGAGAGACCGAGGTAGGAAGGTGCTTGGGGGTTCAGGAGCAGCTGGAGTTGCTTGAGGCTGGTGTGGAGAAAACGCGTGAGAGGGACAGGGTTGTAGAGAGCAAGTTGGGGGGGCATGCTAAGGACTTTGGATTCTGTCATAAGCCATTGAAGGGTTTTAAGTAAGATGGTGAAATATTTGAAAGGATGGCCCTAGCTATTTGCTGTCTGGAGAACAGAATTCGGAAAGGCAAGAGGAAGGGGGGAGACAAGGGTGCCCCTGCAGAAGCGCAGGAGCAGTGCCATTAGCACTGGATCTGGGGCACTGGAGGTGAGCCCTGGGAGGATTCGGCTACGACAGACCAAAGACTCCAGCGGGCATTCTGGGTTTGCAGTGAGCACCAGGAGCCCCCAAGGCCAGCGCGCTGTGGAAGGCACTGCTGAGCAGGCCTCCTCGCCAGGGGCTGTCGGCAGAAATGAGACCACCATGCAAAAGCAGGACACAGGCAGAGAGGGCTCAGGGAAGGGCACCTAACAGCTGGCACACAGGGTCTGAGTACCAGCCTTGCCTCCTCTAGATCCTAGAAAAAGTGCTCAGCGCTCAAAAAGTCCAGTTCGCCTTCCTACGTGACAGTGGAGTTCCAGCAGCTACCCCACAGGACAGTGGTGGGCAGCAAATGATAAGATAATATGGAAAAATGTCCGATAAATCACACTATGATTGTTAGGAACTATGTTATCAACGTTACTATCTCTGGAGACAAGCTCATTTGAGGGGCTGCTGGCTCGGAACCTCTGAGCCTTCCTGAAACCCTAGATCTGGGAAGGTGGCGAGGTCCCAGTCACTGGTTCTGGTTGGTGGGAGGAAATGTGGGGGGGCTGGGTGCTCCCGCGGCAGTCCTGGGACACAGCTGCCCGGGGCCCTGCCAGCCACGCTCTCACTCCTGCCCTCTGCTCTCTGGGCCGGTACCTGGGTGACCGCATCCACTCTCGCAGTTAGCACTCCTTAGAGGTGAGATCCAAACGGAATTTCAGCCCCAGAATATTATCTGGACTGCTGTCTCCAAAGCCAGGCAGACAACTGGACGTCCTACAATTGCTCACAAGGAATCTCTGAGGGACGGCGGCGGCTGAGGGCACTGTCCTTCACAACTCCAACTCCAGTCACCTCTGTTTCCTCTCACCTACCCCCCTTCCAAATTTATTCACCTAAGCCCTGTTAATCCTGTCTTTAGTATGCCCCTTCCCTACCTATCCTTCTTCATCTCCATATTCCGTATTTCATTACCAACACTTTAGTTCAGAACTTCATTATTTCTTATCTGGGATATTTCACTAACTCCTTAACCTGTCTTTCTGACTGTCCTGCCCTCACCCGCTGTGTGCAATGAGTGTCGGCTTGCCAGTCTCACGTCGCAGCTCTCGTGATGTGACACATGCCCTACGCCTTCAGCCTCTGTTCAGGGCCTTCTACTTTTTATTTTTGTCTCCTTGTGCTTAGACCCCAGGGGTCACCTGATGTTTCATGAATGAGACTGATGTTCTCTCTCCTTCAGACCTTTGCTTGTGGTGACCGCTGTCACCATCAGCATCCTCCCAGTCCTTTCCCTGTGGTATCAGTGACACTATAGTGTCAGCCTAAGGAGAAGGGACTACTCCAGCCCTGGGTGAGGAAGGAGGAAGCCGGTGCCCCAGGGTTAGAGGACTTGGCCCAGGGCTGGAGGCATGACCAGAAAGCCAGGCTCCCTGGCCATGCGGCTGGGCTCTCCCTGCACCCTGTGGCTCCTCCCCCTGGACCCTCCTGTCTCCCTTTCTGCAAAGACCTGACCCTCCTGGACTTCACCTCCTTCCCCCACACGCCCCAGGTGCCTGCTTCCTCCCCTACCCTTCTCACCACTCCTCACTGTGACTAAAGGACACTTTAGCCATTGGCTCTGCTGAGACCCAGCCCGAGAGGCTGTGTATCTCCAACAGCACAGGGAAGAGCGCCTTATTGCTAAGTTATCCCCAAGAGGGGCTGGGCCTGGGCCTGGGCCCAACACAAAACAAAAACATATGCCCCCCCAGGTGTCTGCATGGGGTCTTGGGGCCTAACTCTCACCTGGTCTCTGAGGGCTGCATGGGCCCCAGAGAGCCAGATGGGCTCTCTGGCCCCACTGCACCCCCAGCCTTCAGTGCTGTGGCCTTCTCCTGCCTCAGCTCCCCAGGGACTGACTCAGGCTCCTGGGCCCCGCACCAGAACACCCCTGCTGCAAATGCCCCAAGCTCCAGGAGCCGCTCAGTGCAGCTCTGCGGAGCCAGCCCACCAGGCCCAGGGCCTTACCTGGATCCATTCATGTGGTCATACTCCCGCTTGACATTGACCCTCACCGGCTGGTTGATCCACTCCTGCTGCGGTGGGAGGGGGTTGATTTTGTGGGGCTGCCCGTAGTCAGGACTCCCTGAGGCGGTCATGTCGGCCTTGGGGAGATGGGCGGCTGCTCCGTACGCTGAGTCAAAGAGGGACTGGTCGTCGCTCACCACCGACAGAGCCTCCTGCAGGGCCAAAGAAGAGAGAGAAAGCTTCATGTCACTCTTCACCCAGGCAAGTGGCACTCCCATTTTGAGCTAGCAGGGTGGCCCTAGGCTGCCCTGGGACAGCTCCCCGGAAGTCCCAACTGTGCCCATGGCTGACTGATCACACTCCAGGGCAGGTTTCCCTTATGCAAACTTGATGGGTTCTTTGCAGGCTACCTGCACGAGGAGGGAGTTGGGGCAGTGGAGTGGGGATGGGGGACTCCTAGAAGTGGGTTTGTTTGTAGGGTTTATAGGCTAGGACCCCCAAAAAGGAGGGTGGGGAGGGAGAGGCCAAGGATAGAGGTTACATGACGTGGAATACAGTGTGGTAGTGTGTGAGTGCTGGACTCTTTCAGGTGTGAGCAGATATGTGTCTTATTAGCTGTGTGGTGTCGTTGAGCTAAGGGAAAGGAACTCAAGCATTTATTTTATAGGTGAGGCCAGCTAGCCCCACCCAGAGGGGTTAAATGTCTGGCTCAAGGTCACACGAAGAAAGAGGGGAGCAGGCTATGGCTGGGTCAGTTTCAGGTTCCACATCTGTAAACAGGAATAAGAACAGCTTTTCACAGAGCTGACAGGCAGGGGAAATGAGAAGGCTGATACGGGGGTCTGGCTTACAAGCAATGCTCAGCAGTCTGCTGCCGGGCTGTGCATCTTACGGATCCCAGGTTTGACACCCCAGCCTGCCAAACCCAGGGAGGTGGGGCAAGCCCTTCCGTCAGGGCAAGCCCTTCCGGAAGACGTCGTTGGGTCCCCCCACTCATCTGTTCCGTCACCCGACTTGGGTTTGGAGGTCATGGACTGAGAAAGGAAGCCTTGCCCTTTCCCAAGATCGTCTACCAATCAAAGCATGGTGACAAGAGTCTCCCACTATTCCAAGTCACCTCACATCGCAGGGACCCAAGGTCAGTATAGTCATGTAATTGCCCCAAGTGAAGTTTACCGATTTTAAGAAAAGATGGTTGTTTAAAAAAAACGGGGGGGTGGCAAATTAAATTTAGCAGAGTTGAATCAAGCAAAGAACAATTTATGAACCGAGCAGCTTTCAGAACCAGAATAGGTTCAGAGTGACTCTGGGCCTGCCGCATGGCTGGATAACATTTACGGACAGAGGAAGGAAGGTGACATACAGAGAAGGGGAGCGAGGTGTGGGAGCAGCTGGATTGGTCACAGCTCAGCACTGGCCTGTTTAGCGCGGTTTGAGCAGTCGGTGGATGCCCTGTGACTGGTAGCAGAGTGGGTCACGGTGGGTTTGCATATCCAGTTGGGATACAGTTTGCTGCGTATGGAGAACCTTCAGGCTGACCTTAAAATATGTAAGGAGGCGGCTTTAGGCTAAAATGACTTTAACAGGAATAATCTGTAATCATATACCCTGTAATTGCAAAGAATCAATGGAATAACACATGACAGATGCTGAGAACGGTCTCTGGCACACAGTGACACTGAACAAATGTCCACTGTGATGATTACCAGTATTCCAAGATTCCCAGAGGCACCTGCTGTGTGCTGAATTGTATCTCCCCAAAATTCTTATCCTGAAGCCCTAACCCCCAGTACCTCGAATGAGAATGTCTGGAGATAGGACCTTCAAAGAGGTGACTAAATTGAAATGAGGCTGCTAAGGTGGGCCCTGATCCAACATGACTGGTGTCCTTGCACGAGGAAACAAGGACACATACACAGACCCCAGGGGCATGTGTGCCAGAGGGCAGACCACTCAAGGACACAGGGGAAGCCAGGGAGAGAGCCCTTGGAGGAAACCCATGCCATCCGCACCCTGGTCTGGGACTTCCGGCCTCCAGAACTGTGAGAAAATACATTTCTGTTGTTTAAGGTACCCAGCCCGTGGCATGTTGTTATGGCAGCCCTAGAAAACTAGCATGTCCCTTTACTTGAAAATATGACAAATGAACAACACCTTTAAATCTGGGATTTGTCTACCTTCCTTGCATAATTCGCATTTCTGACTTGAATATCTCCTCCAAAACAAAAGCCTCCACATGCCTGTAGAGTTACAGTCTGCCTGCCAGCCCACTGTCACCCTCCACCACAGGGCCACCCTCCACCCCAGCAGGAGAAAAGCCACTCTTCGAAGAGAAAGCTCCTCTGCGGTCCTTTCCAGCTGGGATGGGAGGAGTGCTGGCTGCACCCCAGGAAGTCTGCTTCTGCCGCCGAAGGCTTCGGATAGTAGAGGTAGAGACGCCTTCCAAACGGAGCTGTCCACACAGTAATAAAAGGCTCATGCCCTGGCTGAGTGGCTGGCCCTCCATTCAGACCCGGGATCTGCTGGGATCCTTCTTCACTTTCCACCTGACCGTCCTGTGTAGTGTTAGAGGAAGGTCTGTTTCTTGGAAGACTTTGTCCCCTGGTTGTTATATCTGCTGTCCGCTTCAGTTGGGGATCAGCCTCCACTCTATATTCCAAACAAATTTTTTTTTCTTTTTTTTTTTTTGAGACAGAGTCTCACTTTGTTGCCCAGGCTAGAGTGAGTGCCGTGGCATCAGCCTAGCTCACAGCAACCTCAAACTCCGGGGCTCAGCAATCCTACTGCCTCAGCCTCCCGAGTAGCTGGGACTACAGGCTTGCGCCACCATGCCCGGCTAATTTTTTATATATATCTTTTTTTTAGTTAGTCAATTAATTTCTTTCTATTTTTGGTAGAGACGGGGTCTCGCTCAGGCTGGTTTTGAACTCCTGACCTTGAGCAATCCGCCCGACTCAGCCTCCCAAAGTGCTAGGATTACAGGCGTGAGCCACTGCGCCCGGCTCCAAACAAATTTTGAACTGTTAGCCAGCGCAAGGTTCCAAGTTGAAAAGTGCAACGTTGTATTAATAACCTTTCAGGGGCTGACCCTGAACCCATGAAAGTCCATAAAAGCAGAGGACGCATCACCTCCCAGGACCTGAGAGTGCCAGTTGGTGATAAAGCTGAAGAACATTCGTCACAGTTCTCTGAAAAAGAGCTTATGCCCGAGGAACCAGGCACTGTCTTCTGCCAGGCAGGGTGGCTCATGTTCTTCGTGAATTCTGCAAATATTGGAGTTTACAGTAAAATAATTTCTTCCACTTCCCTCTTCCAGGTTAGTGAGGATGATGATGGAACAGCAGAGGCAAAGAGGCCAGGTAGGCAGGACTGGGCACAGGTCCCTACCACCCTCATCCCAAAGACGGGGCCAGGTAACAGGAGAAGGCTAGATGGGCACGTCCAAGGACAATCAGGTGGGGAAGCCAAGACTCACAGCAGAGAGGTTGCAACAAACAACAGAGAGGATGGAGCTGGGGATTCTGGACGCAGACTTTGGAGGGACTGCTTAAGGAAACAGATGGCATATAGCTAGAAAAAAACATGTTACGGGACAGAGCGTAGCCACTGAAAGGGCACGAAATCAGTCTGAACTTATTTGGAATAGAAGTTTGCTTTAGAATATAGCTCACAGTCAAGGGGAACCCCAGCCAAGCAGCAGCGTCACAGGAAGAGAGTGCCCTGAGCACTCCACTGCTGTTCAGTCTGTGGCCGGGCCAGGCACGCGCTCCTCCTGCTGCGTTTTGTCTCAGACTCTTTCCTCCTTGACTGCACATCGACACGCTCCCCTCATTCGGCCACCCTGCACCCTCCCTGGCCGGGTTCCTTACAAGTTGTGCCTATGCTGTCACCCTGCCACGACCCTGCTCAAACTCCCCGAGAGCTCCCTGGAGATCTACCACATCTGCTCTCAGCCACGCGCTTTCCGAGGGGCGAGGGGCGGCTCTGCCCACCTGCCCGCCCTTAAGTTTCACCATTCCCCTGTCACACCCTTGTCCAGTTCTAACCACTCCTACGGCTCACTAGACACACCCCGCTCAGGCGTGCTTCCCGTCTTACTCCTGCTAGTGCTTTGCTGTAAGCTTCCTTTGCCCTTTCACCGCGACACACCATCGGCCCTTGCCATTGCGTGAGTGAGGTCTTCCTTACTCACGCACACACCCCTTCTGTTTGCAGTCACTGGTAGACAAAGAACTTTCTTCCTGTGACAACATGGAGAAAAGAATTGGTGGGTTGGGAAGAGAGAGAAGATGAAGGAGGTTTCCTGTCTGGCTCACTGGGCTGAATTTGAATAGCCACTGTGGGCTGGGGGAAAGAGGGGAAGGCCACTAAGTGGGAATACAAAACTTGGGGAGATTTGAGGCCCAGGTGGAGAAGTAGAGTTGGGGAGAACATTCTTGCTGGTCTTCAAGGAAATAGCACTCGGTTTGCCACTCAAGGCTGAAAGCCTTGGGAGCACCACAAGACCATGCTCCGGCAAGCACACTGTCACTTTTATGATGACAGTGACAGTGGGGGTTGGGGGGAACTCTCCAAACTGCTTTGTAGATAGTGGGCTTCGAAGAGGGAGACAGGAGTAGGGCCAGAGAGACGACAAGGGGGTGGCCCTGGGTGAGGGTGGCTGGCGACCGTGTCACTGCTGGGAACTCACAGAAGTCGCAGCACAGGGAAAAGGGGTAAGGCCATGTGGTTGCAGGCACCAAAGTGCTCCTGTCCACAGGTGAGGAGCTACAGAGCTGGAAAGCATTTCAATGACATGCTTGGAGCTTGTTACATACAGATAGCTGTTGCTACTTCATGTGTGTCTTATAAAGCTCTTGACTTAAACTCTTAAAACTTTGTAAAGCTTAAACTTAAAACTATTTACAGGAATGAGCAAAACTCTTTACAGCAATGAGGAAATTGCTGGTGCTCGAGAACTTCCCACTGATGAATTTTTGGTAAGTATTTATCTTTGGGATGACAGACGAGGTGTGGAAAGAACACCGCATTCGAATCCACCACTGATTCTCAGAGAGACTAAGTCCCTCTGTTCAGATGACTTCACTTCTCCTGTTGACTTGGGACACTGATGATTTCATTCAAGGGAAGAGAAGTTATTTTTTAAAAGACTTGTGGAGTTCACGTGGCTTTAGACCATGTTACATAAAACTGCCTCCAAAGCGAGAAAGAC